AGGAGGGAGGGAGGGAGGCAGGGAGGGAGGGGAAGGGGAAGGGGAAGGGGAAAAAAATCAGCAGGCCTAGATGGCTGATTAGATGTAGGGTAAGGGTCAAGGGGATGTCTGAAGATAGTAGGTCTGAAGTACCTATGGGACATTCAGTTAGACACACCTAAAGCAGTTGGATATTTGAATCTACATGTCACGAAAGATCTGGCTGGATATTTGGGGATCAGCTGATAACAGGTGCTGGCTGAAACTAAGGGCCTGAGAGCAATACCTGTGTGAAAGGCACTGTGGACATTGAAAAGGGGACAGGTAGTGGAGCTCTAAAACGCCACAGTTGACAGGGATGGTAGGAGAAGAAAACCAAGATAGGGCCAGAGAGGGTAGTATCACTGAAGCCAAAATAGGAGGCATTGCTTAGCATTGAGACTCCTGCAGAGCTTGGGGGAGATAAGCATTGAAATAAGCTAAACACTTCAGGGGAGAGAAAGGACCCCTGCTAATGGAAAAAGCTCCAACTCTGTAAAGTAGTTTAAAGGGGTTTATTCTGAACATGAGTGACCATTGGCTAGGCAATCTATAAATTCAAGAAGCTTTGAGTATGTGGTCCTGAGGAAGTCAGGTTACAGCTTGGTTTTATACATTTTAGGGAGACAGGAATTGCAGGTAAAATCACAAATCAATATATGGGAGGTATACATCGGTTTGGTAGGAGTGCATGGGGACAGATGCCAGGATGGAGGGAGGGGCCCTTACTCAGAGCAGCCGCTTGGGAAGGCTGGGAGGACTGACATCCTGATGCCAATATATGGTTTTCTCCAAAACAGGCTCAAACTTTACAGCTGGCCCTTGGAATCCTGTTCTAGAAGCACTGCCCACTCTTGCTTGGTGAAAATGAGGCTTGGCTAGGGGGAAGGTTGGACCCTCCTGGACAGGGGCTTTGAAGTTAATAATGATAAAAGAATTATAACTCATTACCATCACTGCAACTGTGCTGGCTGCTCTCAAAGGGAGAAGAATTTCATGGCAAGGGAAGAGGTAGTTGCTAAAGAAAGGAGAAAGAAATAATCCCTTCTCTTTCTGACCACAAGTTTAGAATATTTCATGACTCTGCACGTCAAAGGAAAATTTAAGACCTTTTCACCCACAGATAGAGGACTGAGATCTTTGCAACACTCTCATTGCTGAGAGAGAGAAGGGGTCATATTCTGATATTCTGATTTGGACGCTGTGGTGGTTGTGTCACTGCCTGGACTACCCGGTCCCTTTGTGGGTATCAGGTTACACACTCCAGGGGATGGAGTTATTAAGGAGACTCTGAGACTGGTGTGGCTGCATTTTAAAAATCTCATTTGCAAGGGAAATGATGATTCTGCTAACTTTTTTTTTTTTTCTGTGTGCACCTTTTCCTTTGAAGTTAAAGTTAATATTCTCTTGGTCTTGTATCTCTCTGTTTCTTAGTTCTATAAGCCTCTTCCTAGTTTATTTTCCTTAGGAGTGAAGTAGAAATGATTTTCTGAAAAAAGGCTCGTCAGCATTAAGCCATGGGGGAGGTTGAAGCTATGAGGCCTGGAGGAACGAACTGTCATGGTCGGAGCTCTGCAGTCATAGGTTTTCTGCAGCCTAACAATAAGGAATCATCATGTTCTGTCCTTTCTCCCTCAGAACAGACAGATGCTACTTAGCTCCCAGGTCTGAATTGTGCCTCATTCCAATCATTAAACTACTAAAACCCAACGTTCTTAGTCTTCGGAAATTCAGTTCGTTTATGAGAAATTGCTATGTGAAAGACAGCCTATTTTAAGGCTATGAAGGTAAGTAGGAGTTGTGCAGTTATGCGTTAAACTCTGCATACAAGAATTGTCTCGGGTTGGTTTGGGTGCGCAAAGATGATGGAAATACCCTTGGTCTCACATGGCATGCAGATGGGGTCTACTGGGGAGCATTTTTAGGGATTCCTTCTCTTATAGCTTCTTATCCCCAGGGGCTTACCTTGATTTCTCCCATCCCTAAAATCAGATTGGTAATTTCATCTCATTTCCCTCTCTGCTTCACAAGAGGTAGTAGAAGTCTGTAATCTAAAGAATAGAGCACTTTGGTTCCCCAGTGCTCCAATCTAGCCCGGCTCCCCCAGGTTATATGTTGCTAACAGCAGTAGGACAACTTGAAAGGTCATCCCATGTCCCAGGCCCATTCCTACAGACTGACCCCCCTGGTGAGTTAGAGAAGCCGCCATCCAGAACGTAACTCCTAGGTACTTGGACCCCTCTACTGGCTGATAATGGAAGTACTGCATAGCTGCTTCTCTTTCTGTTTTTAAATGAATTAAGGTATTCTGATGATCATTTGCTTTTTCTCTCCCATGCTCCCTGTCTCTGTGTTTCTCTTCCTAGCTGGCTCTATAAACCTTAATACATTTCTCTTAGCGTCTTTAATTCCTATCTTGAGCACTGCATACATAGCCCGTTCCTGGTAGGACATCACTGTCTGACAGGTGCTGGTTAAATTAATGCCTCAATACAGGGTTACAGGGGCTGCCATAGAAGTAGGTACAAGGTACAGAGAGGACCGTAGGCCCTCCACTCATGAACCATGCCTGCATCTCACACCGGTGATGGTCATAATAATGGCAAGTACTTTTGCAGACGTGGACCCCAACACTTAAGCACTTTGCAGGCATTACGTCATACGGGTCTTGCTCAGCCTTGTGAGGCAGCTTCTCTGTCATTAGCTCTACTTCATAGACGAAAAACTCAGGCTGGAGTTAATGCAGCTCGTGGATGGTGGGGCTCAGGATTGGAGCTCAGTCCTCTCTGGTGTCAATGTCATGCCACGAACTACGCTAGTGTGATCTCTCCAGATGCTCTGGGCTTTCCAGGCCATTATCTTGGCAAAAGTTCTTTGACCTTGCTCTCTGCCTGGAAGTCTCTTCCTCTCTTATCTTCTCGAAGAAATTGTGACTTCTCCCTTCAAGACTCATTTCAGGGGTTACTTGGAGAGGGCTGCTGCCCCCCCCAGCCCCACCTTCTCTTTTGGTTGTGTTTGCAGAAACCCTGTGACCCAGTGCTTGCCTCTGATGGAGCACTTAATTCACTTATCGCACATTTTTATCTTGATTCCCCTACATGCCTGTCTCCATGGTAACCTGTGGCCTCCATGATGGCAGGGAGCCCATCTTATCTTTGTATCCTGGGACCTAATACCTAGCACAGAGCCCAGCTCATAGTCAGAAAAATAACAGGAGTGCGTCCCATTTACTGAGTGCCTGACCATGGGTCAGGCAGAGTGCTCGGCACTTCATTTTTCAGATTCTCTCACTTAACCGTCACAACAACCTGTGCAAATGTTGAATTATTACCCCATTTTACAGATAAAGAAGCTGAGGCTTAGAGAGTTTTATAACTTGTCCAAGGTCACCCAGTAAAGAATAAAACTAGGGCTTCCCTCCAGGTCTTTCTGAACTTTCTTTCACATTTTATTAGTTTTCATGCCGTCCATTTTTTATCTGATTAAATATATTTTTTTCTCTTTCAATATTAAGAAGTGTGAGTAGGAAAATTACATTTTCTGTGCTAAAAATTAATAGTGCCCAGACCAGCACCTTCACTCTCTCTCTCCCAGTTGAGGATCTTTGAAATAAGTGAGCCATGTAAATAATCAGGTATTGAACTATTCTGAAGAAAAAAGTTTGGGAACTATAAGTACAGGAGGTAATGTAGGTAAGCTCGAAATCTATTTCTTTACCTAGTAATTTCACATGAAATTTTGCAGCAATTTTATGAAATATTTTATAAAATAATTGCTGTGTTCATCTGGCTCATCTGTCATCTAGAAATTCCAAGTGTAAATTAAGCATTTCTGAGGCCAGAAATTCACTGAGTACAGATTTAGTTACCCGGGAGAGGCAAATCCAAAACGACTTGCTTTCCAGAGCATAAAAAAGAAAAAAACAAACAAACAAAAAAACCCAATCTTTGCAATAAGATTTTATGATGTTAGGTTTAGGCCACATGTTAATTTTGTTTAACTGGTAAGAAATCTCAGACTATGCATTGGTCTTCACCATCCTAATTGCTGAATCATTTGGGGTTGTCTTTAGTTCGGGATTCAGTCAATTGCTTACCTCAGATTTTTAAGTTACCAGTGAAATTAGTGGATAGTTTAAGATCAGGTGGGTGCTAAAGAAATAGAGGCTATCATTAGTCATATCAATATTTATAATTCTTATATTTCAGCATTTATACTTACAGTATTTCATTTTGCTATTAGAGCCTATCTGATGATTACATGTTAGTAATCTAGAAAACCCCATAGCCTTTAAAGGTAACCTTACTTGCCTTATCGATACTTTTTTTTTTTTTTTTTTTTTTTAGTCTGGCTTTGTTGCCCAGGCTAGAGTGAGTGCCATGGCGTCAGCCTAGCTCACAGCAGCCTAACTCCTGGGCTCAAGGGATCCTGCTGCCTCAGCCTCCCAAGTAGCTGGGACTACAGGCATGCGCCATCATGCCCGGCTTATTTTTTCTATATATATTAGTTGGCCAATTAATTTCTTTCTGTGTATAGTAGAGACGGTCTCTTGCTCAGGCTGGTTTCGAACTCCTGACCTCGAGCAATCCACCACCCTCGGCCTCCCAGCGTGCTAGGATTACAGGCGTGAGCCACCGCGCCCGGCCGATACCGTTAAATCTTGATAATCATTAAGTCATCAATATCCTTACATCCTATCAGGGTGGGTGACATTCCCATTCTACAAGATGTGACTTTGCCTCGCACAGGCAGTGCGTGGAAGGTGCAGAATCGGAATGTTAGGGCGGTGAGAGATCCGTCTCCGTCCCACTCCATCCTTGTGCAAATGAAGGAAACGAGCTTCGGGGAAGCCGTCTGCAGTGCCCTGCTCCCCCTGCTGCACTGGAAAGCCGGGTCGCATTCGGGGAAGCCACCGTTGCGCGGCCATCTAGCTGCCTTGGTGTCTCACCGTGGCTTTGCCCACCTTCCTTCCCTCTCTGCAGGTGGCACCCCCGGGCCGGACGGCGCGGTGCGGAGGCGGGCAGGCCGCAGCCATGACCACCGCCATCCTGGAGCGCCTGAGCACCCTGTCGGTCAGCGGGCAGCAGCTGCGCCGCCTGCCCAAGATCCTGGAGGATGGGCTGCCCAAGATGCCGTGCACCGTGCCCGAGAGCGACGTGCCCCAGCTCTTCCGCGAGCCCTACATCCATACCGGCTACCGCCCCACCGGGCACGAGTGGCGCTACTACTTCTTCAGCCTCTTCCAGAAGCACAACGAGGTGGTCAACGTCTGGACCCACCTGCTGGCGGCCCTGGCCGTGCTCCTGCGGTTCTGGGCCTTCGCGGAGACCGAGGCCCTGCCCTGGGCCTCCCCCCACTCCCTGCCGCTGCTCCTCTTCATCCTCTCCTCCATCACTTACCTCACCTGCAGCCTTCTGGCCCACCTGCTGCAGTCCAAGTCCGAGCTCTCCCACTACACCTTCTACTTTGTGGACTACGTCGGCGTGAGCGTTTACCAGTATGGCAGCGCCCTGGCCCACTTCTTCTACAGCTCGGACCAGGCCTGGTATGAGCGGTTCTGGCTTTTCTTCCTGCCGGCCGCTGCCTTCTGCGGCTGGCTGTCTTGTGCCGGCTGTTGCTACGCCAAGTACCGCTACCGCAGGCCTTACCCGGTCATGAGGAAGATCTGCCAAGTGGTGCCGGCGGGGCTGGCCTTCGTTCTGGACATCAGCCCTGTGGCTCACCGCGTGGCTCTCTGCCACCTGGCTGGCTGCCAGGAGCAGGCAGCCTGGTACCACACCCTGCAGATCCTCTTCTTCCTGGTCAGCGCCTACTTCTTCTCCTGCCCGGTGCCCGAGAAGTACTTCCCGGGTTCCTGTGACATCGTGGGCCACGGGCATCAGATCTTCCATGCTTTTCTGTCCATCTGCACGCTCTCCCAGCTGGAGGCCATCCTCCTGGACTACCAGGCCCGGCGGGAGATCTTCCTGCAGCGCCACGGGCCCCTGTCCGTCTACACGGCCTGCCTCTCCTTCTTCTTCTTGGCAGCCTGCAGCGCCGCCACCGCCGCACTGCTAAGGCACAAAGTCAAGGCCAGACTGACCAAGAAGGATTCCTGAAGCTGGCTGGGTGGGGCAAGGTGTGGAGGCAGCCTGTAGTGACTGGCAGAAAACTTGATACAGTAGAAGTTGACTTTTTTATTTTTGAGGGTTGGCTTTTAAATTAACATGTATTTCCAAGGATGTGCTATAGCTGCAGCATTTGAGAGCCAAAGGATTCAAGCGTTTTGTTTTTGTCGGTAAAAGGAGTTTTCCTTTTCCTTTTGGGTCACAGCCTTACATGGCACAGGCAGGGAAGGGATCTTGGCTAAGGTGTTCATGGGACACTGAATTAAGGAGAAACATCTTCATGCCTGGAAATTTAGCAGAATTCTGACTGTGGCCTCCAGGGGCAAGTCCTAGAGCTGAAGGGATAATGAAATTAGACTCGTGAGTAAATAGCTGGCTGGTCCTCTGCCCTACTGGAATGGCCATCCTACTGTGCTGGTCTTTCATAATTGAGTTAATTGATCCGAGGACCTAGTTCATTTGGATTTCAGATTGTCCAGGGTGGGAAGGTCAGAATCTTCAAGATGATTCAGTGAGACCCTTAGACATAACTCAGTTCCTCTGATTCCTGTCCCTCTTCTCTCATCCACTGTAATACTGACCCTTTTCTCAGGATGACTGTCTTTCTGGCTGTTTCCCTGAAGTGCTGCTCACTCCCATCCCTACCTTGCATGGTAATATAAAGGACTAGGAAGCAGTTATACTTCTAGGAAATGCTTGGATTCATGTAGACATTCAGGAAGCGTATCATCATATATTAACATAAACGGTACTAGAAAGTACAGTGCCAAGAGCCACTTGGGGGCCCAGCCAACAAGCATGGATACTGTTTGGTATCATGGGACCCTTCTGTTTTATACCTGTGGACTGCAGGATTACTTGAGAGCTATTAGGGCTGCCTTATAGGCCTAGAGATCTGGAGATCGCTCCAGGGAACCATCTCCAGTTTTTACCAGCATGTTTAAAAAGGCCTTGGTAGAGCGATTGGTTCTAAGGTCCCTCTAGAGATCTAATTATTTTCAGAGGAACCCAAGGTCCAGTCTCCTATATAGGTGCTGCCTCATGAAAGACCCACATAACCAGCCCAGTTCAGGGTCCTAAGGCAGGCAGTTCTGCCTCAGATAAGAGCAGAACCCTTAAAAGTAAGTCCCAAGATAGGCAAGCATGTGTGCTCACTGTGGCATGGTCCCTGAAGCCTCCTTTGGGTGAAAATGTGTGAACCAGGCACCCTGTAGCTGAGATGTTCTGGAACATTGCGGACCAGCAGCTTCTGTGGTGCTTCAGTTGATGCGTTCTGGCCACCCAGCCCTCTCTGAGGATCGACTTCGGCTCTAATCCAGTGAAGGAGGCTGCACCAAAGGAAGGGCTGTGAATTCCTCTCTTCAGAGGCTACCGTTCTTGTCAGTATAAGTTCCCTTATTCACTAAAAGGGGAAATGGTTTGTTTTAACTCCAGTGAAATGAGCCTCTTCTATCATTAGGTTACTTTGTTGTCTTCAAATCGTTTTTCCTTTCCCTGAGAGATTTGTGGGGTTTGTGCCTTATAAATGGAAATGTATAAGTACTTAACGTATGCCTATGTAGAATTTTCTGTTTTGAGTTATTGGGGTAAGAAAAAAGAATTCATTGCTTTCCAACCAGTGAATGAAAGAAACTTCAGAAAGCTAGAGTTGCCTACCAATCAAAAGACTTTTTCAATCTAAGTATTTGGGCCACAAAAAAAGAGTATGTTCAACGGAAGCTTTCCTATGATCTTTATATCAAGAAAGCGGGTGTCTTGTCAGCTACATTGTTCTCCTAGATGGATTTCTCCTGTGTATCCTCAAATATCTGAACTTCTGTGCTACCCACATGTCTTAACACAAGCTTCTGGTGTCTAGGCCAAATTCACAGCAAATAAAGTTGGCAAAACTGGGAACAGAGTTGAACTGAACAAGGGGATGGGGGAATTGTGCAAATACTTTGCAAGTGGAGAGTCAATTTAAGACAGGGAGTAGAAAGTGAAATTTTGTTATTATGGACGCAAAGTCTGTATTTTTTAAAAGTTGGAAAGAGAAGTGCTCTTTCCAACTTGGAAAGAGAAGTGCTCTTTCCAACTTGGAAGAAGTGCTCTTCCAAGAGAGCAGAAGAAAGGAAGGTATAAATGAAGATCCTGAATATAGCTGGAGGTGTTGGTGGGCAGAGATCTTTAGGTCAAATGCAGGTATTTTTAAGCAGAGAGAACAGGTGGTAGCGCAGTGACCCTCAAATGCATGCACAGAGCATGTCAGACTGCACACTGTATATGGCCTGGAACATAGAGAAAGAGGCCCCAAACTTAGATATTGCCATACAGTTTTTATTTTAACTTATGTAAGTATTGGCCCCTCAAGTGGTTGGAAATTACAAATAAACAAGAAACAGTTTGGTTTTTTTTCAATAAGAGATATTTGAGAGGCATTGAGGTAGTGGACTATGATATGCTCTTGAAATACCAGTATCTTATTAGAAATATATAAACATAGGAAATGCAGATGTTTTTAACTATGCAGACTTTTGAGAGGTTAAATACTCCTTTTAAAACACTTTCATGAAAATGCTTGTATCAGTAAGGAACAGATCTAGGTTAAGGGAATAATTAAGAGTTTTATAGGCTGTCTTACTCTGGGAAAGCCCCTCCAGCAGTAGATATCTACTGGAAGTGCTGCTGGTTCTCTCTCTTTTCATTACCAGTTTCAATGTATTAAAATATAAATAGAAAACAACTAAACTTTCAGTCATTTACATCTGTTTGTGAATGAAAATGCTGATGAATTTGTATGAGGCTCTACTCAGGGCAGGGAGAGACAATAGCAGGACACAGCAAAGTGGGGACACATTTGCCTGTTTCCCGCTTGACTAGTTCTTCCTGACCTGTATTTACTGACCAGTTAATGTTAATACTCTTAAGATGTCAGGGTTTCATTTCTAATTTCGGCTGAAAGTACTTCACTCAATAACAATATTCTCAAGTGTCTTCTCCTAGAAGCTTGAAAGAAATAGTAGGAGTTTAGGGCCCAGGAAGGAAGGTAGTTTTTATCCCTTACTTTGTTGCCTACCTGTTCACAAATTGTACCCCAGTTCTCGAAAACTTTAGGTTCTTTGGTTGCTGCACTGTAGTTCCAAATGGATCCTCCAGATGGCGATCATGCTTTACTCAGAGAGGGCACAGCCACTGTCTCTAAGGTTTGTGTCTGCTAATCCTGTTGGTCATGTGTTTTGTTTGATTGCTTGGCAAAGAAAAACATGGAACTAGTTTATGTCTGTATGAATCTACTTACATGAATAACCATTAAATGGATTTTGTATATGGATTGTTGTAGCGTCAACAATTTAATGAAACAGCTACCATGTTGCTTTGACAAGGCCCTTTACAAGGGCTATCTTGAGGAGGCCCATCCTAAAGAAAGGTTTTATTTAGACACTGCCAGGAGAAAGAGGTCAGGACACTTTACATCCATACAGAAGTAGGAAAAATAGAAAAGCTTAAAAAAAAAAAAAAAAGTCTTCATACCCAAACTCCCAAAATACACACACACACACACACACACACACTCCCCCTAATCCCTCCTTGTGACTAGAACAGACAAAAAGCTATGGAGTTGATTTCTCTGAAAGATTTTAATCTAGTAAATAAACACTCCACTTTCACAGATAATAGTGTTAAAGATTTCAAAATTTTGAATTGATGGGGATGTTTTTTGAAATCTAAAAATTACGAATTGTGAATCTACTATAGATCTATTTATACTATACTGTGCTGTAATGTATGTGTTATGAAATGAGACCTTTAAGGCCAGGCATGGTGGGTCACACCTGTTGTAACCCTAGCACTCTGGGAGGCCAAGGCTAGAGGACCCCTTGAGCTCAGGAGTTCGAGACCAGACTAGGCAAGAGCAAGACCCCATCTCTACAAAGAATAGAAAATTAGTGGGGTGCAGTGGCATGTGCCTTGTGGTGCCAGCTACTCAAGAAGCTGAGGCAAGAGGATCACTGGAGCCCATGAGTTTGAGTTTGCAGTGAGCTATGATGACACCACTGCTCTCTAGCTAGCCCAGGTGACAGAGCAAGAGCCTGTCTCAAAAAAAGAAATTTGACCTCTATCAACCAAATGATATTTGTAGCCTTTATATTAAACCTAAATAGCTGTGGAAAAGGCGGTTCTCTAGGCTGCTGCAGCTTCAGGCTATTGTACTATCACAATAACAGAAAGTAACATTCCTATGGCTAGAGGCTCCACTGGTAGAATTATGGATGTCCCTGTTGCCCAAACCCTTATTGTCACCAGCAGGGGCCCTGGGCAGTTTGAATAAGCTTCCGTTGTCACTCTCACTAGTTCAGCCAGTCTTTCAGTTCATTTAGCAAGAAGTTATTGAGCATCTATGGGTGGCAGGTGCCATGTTGGCTCTGGAGACACCAGAGTGAAGAAAAACAGACCCTGCACGCAGAGAGTCTGCTAATGGAGGACAAGCATCTTCCCCTTGGACCGTGACAAGGTCCCCTCCCCCAGATCTTGATTCTAGTCACAGCCAGAGGGCCAGATGCCCTGAGGAGGCTGGAACCTGGTTTGGGCCAGGACCTTTTCAAAGGGATTGAGCTCTTTCTCCTCTTTCTCTCCGGAGGCTGGAAATATCTCCCTTCCAGCAAAGTGGTCACCTTAAAGTCACCTCGACCTCCTGTTGATTCTGCTTCTGCAACTCTTCTCACTGCCCTCTAGTTCTTCTAATTCAGTCCCAGGGATCCTTGACACATCAAGACACACAGAAGAGCCCTAAATTTCCATGAGTAGTGTAGGCTTCCCAGGTACATAAAGTCCCAGCCTTCATGGAAGGGGTTGTAGGGTTCTAACCTGAGTACAAGTTCCTGTCCTTGGTAAATTGAAAACAAATAGCACTCCGGATGCCTTCTTTTTAAAAAATAACAACTTTAACTCTTGTGGAATTGTTATGGAAATTTCATATGGAAGGAAGATCATCTCATTAAAAAGATAATTTAAATACTAACTTTGAGAGCACATTTGTCTAAGTTAAGGGCTTTTCTTACATAACATCATTCTCATCGGAAGAGGTATTTGTTCACTATATGTTAAGACTCCAAGAGGCTTTGACCAAGTTGAAGGCTACAGAATAACATATTTAATTTTATCATGCATTGTGCTTTCCAACACATTGTTACAGCCATTTGAGCTTCTAAACTGTATGAGGTAAGTAAGGTCAAAAAGGTCTCCACTGAACTAGAAGTCACTAGAAAGGTAGGATGACTGGTTTGAAGTCACACTAATTGTAATGTTTAAACTTATTTTTCCTTCAGATAAATTCAGGGCCCAGCTAATCAGAAACATTAGCACCAAATATTTGCAGAGCCCTTTATAGCTTATGAAGCACTTTAATGCATATGTATACTACAAAATCATCTCATTTTAATTTGCTATCCTAAATATCTCATGCACAACCAGCATGTGTCCCTTCTTTTTCAGGTAAAGTGACTCTACATCCTTAGATGCCAAATGAAGCATTCTTTGCACCCACAGGCTTCTCAGAAAGCCCCAATTTTCACAGTCCACAGGCTGTGGCCTACATTATAAAGTCAAATCCCACTCTCTCATCAGTTTCTTGAAAATACCTTTGAATCCTTGGATGACAATCTCCTCTAGCCTTGATATAATCTTGCCAAATCCCAAATCCTCCCTGTCATCATTCAGTGGGATTATCCACTCCTCAAAGATGGGCTCTCCCAGGAATTTTGACAAGAGGTGTGAATGTGAACGTAGGATTTAAAAAAAAAATTTTTCTCTGCCTTTATAGAGAAGAGTTATATTGACTTAGTAGAAAGCAAAAAAAAAAAAAAAAAGGCATGTATTATTTCTCATTTTAAAGTAATACGTGCTTATTAAAGCAAATGCAGAACAAAAGATAATCTATAGGCCCATCACTAAAATAAAATCCCTTTTAGGGGAAAAATAAGCTTATGTCAAAATATTGTCAATGACGAAAGGTAAATTAGCAGTGTATGTAAAGATTCCTAAAAAAAAAAAACCAAATTTAAAGCGAGAAATGTTAAGCCCCCTAGTACTTTCAATTCTGTAAAGTATAAAATCAACGGTCTTTGGCCCAGTTTACAGGAATACCAAGATAGTTACATTACACTCCCTTCTGATGTTACATCGTGTAGGTAATTTGATGATGATGTGGCTGAGATACTGGCTCATGAAACCAAGCCAAGGATACGTTATCTCTCCTGTTGAAAGAGTTGTGTGAAATGCCTCTTCTGAATCAAGGCCTTAGAGTCCTCTGCTAGAAAGACCTTCGCTGGAGGCAAAGCCCGGCCTGTTGAAACTGGTCAGTGTGTAGATTCGTTGACAGTCACTCCACAAACAGTGAGCACCACCAGGTACCAGGCTCTGTTCTCAGCACTTGGGATACAGCAATGAATAAACATAATTCCTTGCCCTTATGGAGAAATAAACCCAATGAATACATGATGTAGATATTAGATAATGATATTAGAAGGTGACAGTGCCAAGGAGAAATAGCAAAGAAGAGGGATAGACTGGAGGGGTGGGTGAGTGTGAGGAAGCCAGCTATGTTTCCCTCCCAGGCAGAGGGAGAAGTGCAAGGGCCCTGAGGCCAGCGCATGCCAGGAATATCGAGGAGGCCAGTGTGAACAGGAAGAAGCAGAGTAGGAGATGAGGACAGATTGTGTAGGCCTTGTGAGGGCTTTCGCTTTTACTATGACTTCGGGAAGGGGCGTACTGGGGAAGAATTCTGCCCAGGGAAATTCAGGGTAGCTGTTTATTAATTACTACTGGCACATTACCTTGCCATTGGCGAATAGGGCCAATTATGTTTCCTGAAATCTACATAAATCTATATAAATCCACATAAATCTGCATAAATCTACATAAATGTACAGGTTACATTAAGTAATTCCATTTATGGGCCTGGCCCAACCAACCGTTCCCATAGACACACTCTCATGCTTGCAGAGTTCTTCCCTGATCCCTCCTAGAGCATCGTTAGAGTGCCCAGAGTTGCTGACCTCCACTCTCTAGACAGGCTTGGAGTGTTTCCTTATTGACATTAGTTTGTACTCTGGATAATCCTTTGGGCAGAAATGGAATGACACATGGAGGGCAGAGTCTGTAAACTGGGAATAATAAAAACAGTTTACATTATTTAGTACTCCCTACTTGGCCAAGTACTGAGCTGAGCTGTTAGATTCTTTCATTTAACCCTCATAACAACCCTGTGAGGTAGGTACTGTTATTGCCCCCATTTTACAAATCAGGAAACTGAGGCATAAAGTAAATTTGCCCAAGACTACCTGGCCATCAAGTAATGAAATCTCACGGAAACCCAGGCTTTTGAATCCAGAGTCCATATTCTTATCCAGCAAAATTAAGTGACTGTAGAAGATTCTTTGGTCCAACTTCCCTGTTACCAACTGTGCAAATGAGAAAAAGTTTAAAATTGAGAGGGAAGTGTAATGTAGATTATTCCCCCCTTCCCAATAAATGAAGTAAAGCTAAAGATGCACTTCTCACTTCATTTCTAGACGCTTCTATCAAGCAAAAGTCCTTACACTGTTATTGTTGAAGTGGCACCAGTGATGAGATTCCTAAATATGTTTTGTGCTAGAATCCCACATGGACCTACTCATACTACAAACATTAATCTCCAAGGTCATTTGTAGTCACCTGAAGGACTTTCAAGGATTCAAGCCCACTTTAAGAACCACTGACTGTCCACACATTCTTTTCTCATGCTTCTTTCATGTGTATAAAATAACTCTAGTGAATCCTTGCTCATCTTCTGGAACTTTTAATATATCTTATTCCTCATTAAAGTCAATTTGAGCACTATTCCAGACTAAACTAATTTCTTTTTCTTAAAGATGACTATGGCAATGTGAAAAAACATCTCCATCCGTGTTTTTTTTTTTTCTTTTCTAAACAAGAACAAATTATTTTGGGATCTGACAACGGTTACTGTGGGGAAAATACCTTAGCACAGCACGCAGCGCAGAGTTTGTGTTCAGTAAGTGCTAGTTGCAATCATCATCATTATCTTTTCTAACACCTAACGCTGGGCAGCGCTGTGAGTTCTGCACAAATGGGTCCACCCTCTTCCCTTCTCTGTAGGCTCTCCGACATCTCTCAGCAGAGCAGGAGCTCTAAGCCCTCAGGAGGGATTTCTCTACACCCCTAACAGAGGAAGATATTTTATTTTCCCAAGGGAATGGTCAGGTCTTTCTTGCCATCCTCCGCCTTCCTTCCCCTACACTCAGTCTGCATGATCACAGACCCTCCCAGGCA